AATAGATATATATATATATATATATATATATATATATATATATATATATATATATATATTCATATGTTAAACAATCGTTTACCAAGTGTTGTTTCAGGATTTAATCCTGTGATATTTCTAGCAACGTCAATAGGATCAACATTTGCAAGACTGCAGAGATTCAAATAGAGGATGAGATTGGTTTTATGAAAACAGTACAGCCAGCTTCTAGATGTGTAATAGTAAGCTAGATTCAGAAAAACAAATATTATACAGCTGGGGTCAACTAATGCTTGCAATTTCAGACTTCACTGACAACAGATACTTACAAGCGCAGCTGACGACCCCTTGCAGATTCAATAGCATCAGGGTCTGCAATATGACATAAATAAATAAATATATACTCAACAATTTTACTTGTTTCCAACTAAGAACGGTGTTCACACACACACAGACACTCATTTATTATAAGACAACACAATAAAAGGCCAATAACTGTAGAATTGCTATTAAAGAGACTAGCAGTAATCAAGCAACCTGTTTGAAGTGCAGTGTGTACAAACAGCGGACCCAAGAAGCTTCCCCCAATACCAATTGCAACAACGTCCTTCAAAGCCTTTCCTGTAGCACCAACCTTCACAAAAAAGGTTAGTAGTTAACACCCTTTAGTTCAAATGAATCAAATGGTCAAAAAACATCCCCTTAGAATATTGGAGTAGCACATTACCCAAGAACCATTGCGAACCCGCTCAGAGAACTCCTGGATGTTGTCAAGAACTTTCCAAACTTCTGGCACAACATTTTCCCCATCACTTTGTATGACAGCATCCCTTGAAGCACGAAGGGCGACGTGAAGCACGGACCTGTTTTCCGTGCTGTTAATCTGAAAGTGAATCCAGCATTATCCAAAAATAAAAAAGTAAGTAGATATTCTGTGTACTGGAAGTGTAAAAATCAAATCACAAACCCCTTCAACATAAGGTTGCTGTCTTTTACAATCACGGTGTTACCACCGATAGTCTTTGATTGGTCGACAGTCGATACTTTTTTACACTTGCCATACATAGATAATATTTTAAAGTCAAAATTAACACTAGCAAATAACGCATGACTTTGTTTATACTTGTGGACTGCGAAACTTTGTTAAATTTGAGGACAATGACTCACATGTTCCCCGCTGTACATGCGGTTAATCTTATCTCTGAGCGATGCAGCCTGCAAAAAATTAGAAAAAAAAATCAATAATCAGAATTTGGAAATTCCTTTTTCATGTGTTTACCGATTGATAAAAGATTCAAGCACGAGCGCCAAACAACAAACCTCCGCCAATTTAAGTAGTTTTTGGATAGTTTCGGGAGTGGCTTGTTGCCTTGAATAGTCCAACAGAATGTCATCGAACTCACTACATAACATACAGAATCATAAAATTAATTTCCACAGCATGGAAAATAGGAAATGGAATTGAGAATTTTCTTGTTTTGTACTAAGAAACGGAGTTTGAATAATATATCGTTTGCTTACAGGAACATGGACTGGCACCGCTTATCATCGGTCAACAGATCGCGAAGATGCGTTTTCTTGATGTCCTCCACATGCGCCTGCTCAAAATTGAAACGCGACCCGTTTAATGGTAATTTCGGATTGAGGGCGAGAATTAACAACAATAAAGTTGATCGATTCAATTTTATTACGTTACCTTCAGGTCCTTCCATGGCTGAGTATCGGAAATGATAATGGATGATGCCATGAGCGCGACGAGGGAGAGTGTGACTGTGTGAGTGAATGAATGAATTCGAGACTCGCTTTGTGCGTTGTATGTAAGTCGGAACTTTCTTAACTTTGTTTCTTTCACATGGCGAGCGCTAAATGTTACACGTTGACGAACAAAAAGGCAAGAGAAAGGCTATTTCAATTTTTTTTTATACAATAGTTAGTTAATGCATAATGTAAGGAATTCTATATCGTGATTACACGAATTTCTTTGATAAATATAATAAAATTATGTTTCTTAGACTTCTGATTGTAACAAATTTTACTCTGATAATAATTCATTTTTTTTAAAATTATATTAACCAATACTTTTACGATATGGGTTAGAAGGATAATAATTAATTTCTTATTAAAATGCATGGCATAGATGTTTTTATAGTTGTGGTGTGAATTTATTAATGATAGTTTTAATAAATAAGACAACTTGTTTTTTATTTATAAAGTTGGAGGGCTGCTACTTTCTGCATCCCTGTTTTTTTTTCGCACCTCTATCTTGTTAAATGTCCATTCTACCCTTTTGACCTTATAATATATGTTGACTTTGGTCATATTTGAGCTGTGTTGTTTGTTCACTCTTCATTCTTCACAACCATCGTTGAGTTGGTCATCATTCCATCGTTCGGTTGTGAGGCACTCAAGGTTTACAAGATTTGGAACAAAAGGAAGGTGTTTAACGGTTTAGTGAAGGTAAGCTTTGGTTTCGGCTTCGTATGAATGTGCCGGTGGTGGGTGATGGAGTTTTTTTAGGGTTTTTCCAGAATGGTCAACCTATAACCTTATATCGGATCCGAGAAATATGTTTGGGAGTGAATAATCAGGAAATAGATGGTGTATGATGAAGATGTTTAATTGTTTGAAAAGAAAACAAATGTATTGAATTGAAAAAGAGTCGGTTACTTGAGTTTTAAGCATAAAAAGGAATGTTGATAGGTGAATTTTTGAGTAACTGATTGATTGAAGGGTACAAGAGTTTGAGGTTGTTTGGAAAGTCATTTAGGATTTATTTAAGCTTTCAAACCAGTAAAATATAGTATAAGAGGCCGTGAATGGTTTTTAAGTGAGTTTTTACACGTATTTTGTTTTAACTTTGGATTTTAGGTAGTGAAATTGTGAGGAAAAGATTGGAAACTGTTTTGGAGAGTTTTTGATAAGTTAGGAGATCAATCAGGACTTGTTTAAAAAGTTTATATCAGAAAAAGTTGTCTCATAAAAGTGGAAATTCTTTCATGTTGAATTCTTAAGTCATTTTAGAGGTTTTAAGTGATGAAAATGAAAAATAGGATAACAGGAATAAAATAGAGGTATTGAAGTGTGCTAACAAGTATATTTAGACTTGTTTATGCATGTTGTAAATTGATAATAAAGGTTTAAAAGTGTAGAATTGAAATTGGATAGCTTGTAAGAGTGACTTGGATTTTAAAGGGTCAATTTAAGTTACAATAGTGTTTTCTGAGTTTTTACGATGTTTAAAGGGTCCTAGAGATATTTAGAAGTTAAGGTGAAGTGTCTAAAGTCTGGTTTTTCATGTTTATGCAACTGTCATGGCACTAGGCGTCTACTCTATCTTGTGAGTGCTGAGCTCCAGGCAAAGAGAGGCTAGGACATTGAGCGCCACCCTTGGGTACTTTTCTATATTATGTTGTAGTGGGCTGTGATGCACTATTGGGTATGTTTTAATATTGGGTATGTTTTAAGAGTTTTCCAATTATATGTTTGGTTGTTTAATGCATTGTAAAGTATGATTAAAGGTTATTAATGTTAGTATGCATGGTTAAAGTAAAAGGATGTATTTACATTGTTTCAAA